AAGGGCTTGGGAGGATTCACGATCAAGCCGCCAACAGCCTCGGCTTTAGGATGAGGACGTCCCGTCGTGGTGCGAAATGTGAATTTCTGCATGAAGATGGCCAGGAACAAGAAGAGTTCCATGAGGGCCAAGGACTCTCCCAGGCATTGACGCTTCCCTGTTGATGGGCGGCAAGCTTTACTTCAAGTGCAATGCGTTGCCGCTCTGACATCAAGAATATTACCTACCGAGGAGGAAGGGAAGGAAGCTTGGGACTTTTGTCTTCACGGATCCATCTGGATTCAGGAATCTTCCAGGATCGAATTTTTCAGGATCGGGCCAGAACTTGGGATCCATGTGACACGACCAGACGTTCGCCAGGAATGATGTTCCCTACGGACCCATCAGGACCTTCAAATATTTATTTCATTTGTTTGGGCTTTTAAATGCTTTGGTACGCAGACGATAGTCGACCTTGGGAAACCGAAGACCGGTAACTTCTATGTCTTCTGTGGCAAAGTGAGGCAATCCGAAGGGGAGCAGATTCGCTAATCGTTGCACTTCCATGATGAATGCTTGCATGTAGTACATTCTGCAACAATAGGACGATGCAATTTTTTTAAAGTAAAATTTACGAATGAAAATATAATGAAAAGGCATACGAAGTAATGAAGGCTAAAAAAAAAAATAACTCGAAAATCCAAATAAATACACAGATTGCTTGACCTGTTACCTTGAGTAGGACAAACGCAAGTGAAGAAAATGATTCCGTCGATTCGCTTGTATTTTTTATTTCGGAATTCAAGGAGCTTTCTGGACTCCTGCACGACCTGTATTTGCCAAACCTGTCTCGATCGTCGAGCGAAGGAAGTCGTTCGGGCCCGACCACGCTGTCGACTTCGGCCTGGAGTTTCTCCTGAATTTCGGGGTGGCAGAGGAGAAACAGGACGCACCAACGGATGGTGTTTGTTGTCGTCTCGCTCCCGGCGATGAACAGGTCTGAGATGATCACTCGCAGCTCGATCTCTGTGGGAGATTAGGGTCGGTCAATCGGTGATCATTCAGAGTCTTCTCGTTTCGTCGGTGATGGTACGGATACCTGAGAAATTCGGGTTGACCTCCCCTCGAGCTTTCTGCTGCGCCATTTCCGTGAGGTAAGCGTCGATGTAGTCGTTCGAGCCTCCGGACGAAGGCAGATTTCTCTTGTGTTCTTCCAGCTCGTCCTTGGGAAGAAAAAATGCGATAACACGGCAGAGAATTCCGGGAGGTCTTTCTTTCTCTCTAGGAGTCCCCTCATCGCGGAGACCAATCTTGTTAGATAATTTTTAGATAGAATTAGATGATAAAGGGTGTAGCACAATGATTGCCGCCCAAAGAAATTAACGAGAATCCAAAAATAAATCATGCACTAAAATGATGAATAATTCAATTCAATTTTCCATGATTTTTATAGTAAAATATCTCCAAATGTACCCACCTTCATGCACATTTCATGCATATTTTGGTATTTTAAAAGAACTTTCACCAGCACATTTCAGGTATCATCCGCGGGTTAAAAAAACACGCTCACAATTCCAACGAATCACTCAACCGATTACCATACAGAGAAAACCATACCGAGAATATCTTCGCGATGGCCGCCGCGTTGCGATCGATGCGCTGCGAGGCTCGGAGTGCAGGCGGCCAAAGGTACACCAGCAGGGGAACCCATTGGAAGTTCCCAATGTAGCTGGAATCCTTGAAGACTTCCATCAGACTTTTCATGAAGTATTGCATCCTCGAATCGCCATGAGGAAATTGCTTGTCTGCAGACGATCGAAACAAAACATCCGCCTTTCGTGAATATGAATCGGTTGCAAGTTTTTTTTTTTTCTCGAACCTGCAGTCATTTTCCAGATAACGTTGAGAACGGCAACGTTGAGGCGAGGACCGAGATCGAGAGGCCTGAGCTGATTCTCCTCGAGGAACCGGCAGAGATCGAGGACGGAGTCTCGGATGATGGAGTCCATGGCCTCCCTCTTCCCGAAGCCGAAGTCCTTCAGGATCCGCATGGTGAAGCGGCGGTTCTCCTGCCACAGGCTGCCCTGCGCGGATACGATGCCTGCAACGACAAGAATAATTGTTGAGTTTTCCTGTCGTATCTACGTGGCCGAAAGCGAAGTCGGTGAATGAACGTCGTTTTTTATGGGCGAATCGGATCTTGCCGACGATTTACCACGGTCGGCAAGATGAAAAACGGGTTTGGATATTTAAATGAGGCCCCTCAAGAGTCGCCATCAATTGGACCGACTCCTTCTGAGATGGCGTGTGGGGTGGAATCATCACGAGATCTCTCTCGTGCTCGAGTCCATCGACGAACGAAAAGCAAGTGGGTCTTGCGTACGACTCGGAGACCTTTCCCGAATTCACCATTCGAGCAGTGGCAGTGAAGCTCAGATCCTACTCCTCGAATCGTCTGTGTGCTGTTGGTCAGTGCGACGACGTGATCGATGTGAAACAGAAGAAAGAAATTAGGCGTACCACCATATAATGTTTCCAGACATTCCGGCATGCGTTATCGCAAAACGACAGAAAGCATGCGAGCGACCTGAAGGGGTTCATCGTATAACCAAGCAGGGGTTCTGATCATACCCTAAGGCTTCTCTGAAGCGCGAGTTGAGAACTCGAGACCTCCATCGCCTTAGGTCATTTCCAAAGCACTCCAGACTGCTTTAGTCGTACTGTCGCGGTCCCGTACAGCGCCATGACGAGTAGACGACAGAACACTGGTCAGGGTTGCCCGATATGTGTAGCCTGGTCAGGCAGATCAAACATTGATTAGCTTCTTGAAAGGGTGACTTCCCACTATTAATTAATGAGTAAGGGATGATCAGACGTTTTTGAACTTTCCAAGTGGTATTCATAGCAGATGCTTCCACAACTTCTCTCATGACTTCTGGGCAATTTGGTGACGTCAGGTGAGCAACCAGGGATGGGTGCGTTGCTGCTTTCATTCCTGTTTTCCTCCCGTCTGGCGGTTCCATCTTCGAGGGTGCGCTCTCTTTCTTCTTCCGATCTCCGTCTGGTGTGCTTGCTCCATCCTTCCAGCTTTTGTCCTTTGTGGATCTCGGTGAATTACTTCAGGTTTAACATGAGACATTACCCGCACCAACAGGCTTGTGTTCGTGCTAATGCAGAAGCGGAGAACTCAATTCCAAAAGGTCCACTCCAAGTCCAGAAACCACCTGCATTCATCGAGTCAACGAATACGTTCTGCTTTCTTCCCTGCCACGTCTCACCCTTCTACTGGCCTGACTTCGAGTGCCTCGCGTTGCTCAGAGAACGTAGCCAAGCGCCTGAAAGTGTTATAGTTGAAGGGCTACAAGGACTAGTGTGGAACTCATTCCCATCCTGTTAATGGCAATGCCGCCTGTCCGTGCTCAAGCACCCGCAACCAGGTCTGTGATAAGTCGTTGTCGTAGCCGCATATGCGATTGGCCTAATCTTTTCGCTTTTGTCTGACGGATCGCGTGGACAACCAAAGAGACTCCTCTTGAGCAGAGAAGATTGGCTATGCCATCTGATCCAACCCGCTTTCATTCTTGAAGCCAAGGTGCCGGGTCAGGTGCCATCCTGACCACCGGCACCACATAATGAAAGTTTTTTTTTATATTGGGGCACACTCGAAAGTTACTCTCGTTAATCATCCCATCCATTGGGCGATACTTCCCCGTGAGAGAACCTCCAAGGATATTTAAAAAATTACTTTACAAGGGATAAAGTTTAGCATTATTCCCAAGCGTGTGTGGTGCACACCGAAAAAATTGGATTGCAAAAAAATTAGGTTCTAATGGCAGTCCGGAAAATATGAACATATGATATAGGGTGACATGCACCAGATCCGTTTAACTTTACACTGATTCGTTTTCATAATGGGAGTCTATGGGTATAATTTTATCTCTGTTAAACTAATTCCCATAGGAGACCATAGTGAGATCAGATTAGTTTAGTTTAAACGGAACCGGTGCATGTCACCCATAGTCGGAATTGATTTTAATTCACTCAGTTATTTAAAGAAGATTGAAGTTATATATTGGAATTTCGTGTACCCATGTCACCGAGAGCGACTTGTCGAGCAATAAGCGTTTCTGGTCGACCCGAAGCTTCCAACCGTCCGAAAATGTCTCTCACGAGTTCCCAGTTCCTCAGAATCACGAGCTCCTTGTGAAAGACGCCGATCGTGAAGATGTCCCCATATTTCTTCCCAATTGCGTCTAGTTTCATGTACAGGTGTTCCCCCCAGATGAAAGGGACGGATCCGAGAAACGGTACTCCCCATGGACCTGGAAATAAATTGCCCGTGATTTTTCATGGGGATGAATAGTTCGTCTCTGATACGAGGAAACGTACTTCTCTTCTTTAGTACTTCTTTTTGAGTACTTCTGTACTCTTCCTTTAATTTTATCGAAAGTTTGTAGAAAAAGATGGTTACCTGGTGGAAGTTTGGACCAAAGCAGGAGCTTCTTCACGAAGAAGTGAAGGAGATATACGAGCAGAAAAGAAGTTAAAATGAGCGTAACACTCATCCTTATCACTCCCTCCGAACGATGCCACTGATAGATGCCCTTCCATGGCATCCGAATGTAAGTGCCTCGACTTTTCACGTGCCTCTGATAAACACGACCTAAGCCCCAGTCAACGTGGGGAAGAGAATTGCGGAATACAGCTGGGAAAGAGGCCGGGCACGTGAATGCACGTGAATGCACGTGAAGGTGGATGAGTGTATGTCTCCCTTTGATGGGATACGATTCCACTCGGTGTAGATCGTATTCTTTGGTCATGCCAAGGTTTACTTCTGCAGCTTGAAGAAAGGGATTATTATTATTGTAATACGGTGTAATAAGAGACATTTTTCGCTTTTCACATGGTTCTTGGCGACAGGACGGCATGGCCGCCTCTTCCCTTCCTTTTCCCACAGGGTGATGGGATGCATAGACGTCCCAATTTTCTCGGGTTTTCATTGCCATTTGCTACCAATACTTATTATTTAAATGTTATACCGGCTGGAAGGAATCTTTTGCGTGCGGTTCCCATGCCTCAGATCAGTCGTGAATAGCTTCATTCCCGGCTTGATGAGCCGAGTGAAAGCAATTCATGATCATTTGCAGAAGGCGATCATCATCATCATCCAATTTTTCTAATAACTGTACAATTTTGCTTCCTTGCACTTTCTTCCACACTATTTACTATTTTCTTCCGCATTTGAGGGATTTTGTCTTCATCATGATGAACCAGGAAACTGCTGAGGGGGAGATAGCAGGCCGATATTGTTCCGAAATTTCGTCGTGGCTTCCGACAACTCGACATCCAGAGAAATCTCATTTGAGAATGAGTCGGTCATTTTTACCGTCAATACGATCCACGATATTCAATACTTCTTGTGAAAGGCAACCGTTTACACTGAACGGTTCCCAAAATTTGACAACCCCTTGATCTACCCCCCCCCCCCCCAAAAAAAAATACTCCATTGGAAATGCAAAACTTCCTGAATTTCAATCGTAAATTGATTAATTGCAGATTATGCGAGTTCCCGGCCACCAATTAACAAAGCAAACGTACCAGAAAAGGCCATTTCGGCTGTTACCCCTCGCATGACCTATCAAAAATAATAGTGCCATGAATCAGTTATGCCTCGATGCGAAGTGTTGACCAACGCAAGACCTTCTTTACGAAGTAGGGATGGTGGCACGCGAGCAGAAAAGATGCGAAAGGCAGAGTCATACCTATCGGGCAGAACGCACCGAAGGAGCAAAGGACTCGGGGATGCACGATCCACTTGAACGAAGTCGCATGATCCGTTGATAAGAGGCGCTGACCTCTTCGGGTGCAGTCGCTCGAGGACCATATGCCGAGGTACTTCAAGTCATGTGATCCCTCGTTCCGGAGGGGGGGGGGGGGAGAGTCATGTGATGTGTGGCTGACATTCGACAGAATTCCTCGAGAGAATCAATGTTTTTTCTGGTTGCTTGGGGTGACATGCATCGCAACAGTTGAACTTCATTTCATTTTATCTCGTTAATCCCGGCCGCATCGAGTCGAGCCGACCCAGCGCGCCTCATATTCGCTCTAAAATGGGCAAATATCATAGGACAAACGACAAAAAGAAAGAGTGTCTGCTTCGACATCATCGATATTCACCTCAAGGCTTGGATTTCGATTTCAAGGATTTGGATTTCAAGGCTTGGATTTCAATCCCTTTGGATTCCGAGCAACATGGAATCGCTCTTCCAAAGAGAGACTCCATGGCATTTGGTGCGAGTCGAATTCCTGTTCCGGAAAGGGGACTGGGTGCTGAGAAATACGTGCTGAAAGTGTGAAAAACGAACCCCATAATCCCTGAAATAAACTTCATTTCAAAATCACGTCATCCTGCAATAGTAAGCACGATAAAATAATGCACATCATCCAACTATCAATTAGCAATGTAAACAATGTCAAGAGAAAAGTCTGGCCTTCAATTTTCAAAAAGTTACCAAAAAAATTGCCAAAGATTTCTCAATCGGGAAGACAAACACTTCAATGCTTCCTCTCCTCGACAATGAATTGGAAGGGTTTGGGCGGGTTCACGATGAAATCTCCAACAGCCTCGGCTTTGGGATGAAGACGTCCCGTTGTGGTGCGAAATGTGAATTTCTGCATGAAGATGGTCACGAACAAGATGAGTTCCATGAGGGCCAAGGACTCTCCAAGGCATTGACGCTTCCCTGTTAAAAATTTGTTTTAAAATTACTATATTTAAGGGTATATGATATTTTGAATGTATATATTTCCTACCGAGGACGAACGGAAGGAAGCTGGGAACTTTTGTCCTCAAGGATCCATCTGGATTGAGGAATCTTCCGGGATCGAATTTTTCGGGATCGGGCCAAAACTTGGGATTCATGTGACACGAATAAAGGTTCGCCATGAACGCCGTCCCCTACGAAACCGGCAAAAGATCAAGAAAACCATTTCTCGTCGTCGTCCCGACGAAGGTTTACCTTCGGGAAGAAATAGCCGCCGATCTCCACGTCTTCGGTCGCCACGTGGGGCACCCCGAACGGCACCAGATTCGCGAGTCGCTGCACTTCCATGATGAAAGCTTGCGTGTAGGGCAATCTGGGCCGAATTAACGATCAAATCGAACTCATTATGAAAGCATAAATAACAATGAAATTAATACTCATTCAGGGCAACGAAGATTAGAAACCGAAACTGAAATGGATATGAATATAAAGGGTCCCAAACAATGATTGCCCCCCCCCCCCCATCCCCACTGTGGAGCCTCGATAGAAGGTCTGGGCTGGTGATGACTATATCTCATTAAAGTACATTCATTCAAAAAATATTTAGCAGGTACAACAATGTGTGCTGCTGTGCATACGATTAAGAGAAGATGCGAGTCGCCGACCGCATTAGAGCGGTCACTTTTCGCTAAGTCCGTGACGCAGGTGCGGCCTTCGTTTCTCGCTCTTGGGTGGCTTGCACGCTTAGGAAGGTCAGAGGATTTCGTGAAAAGGACTGGAGTAAGTCCCTTCAAGAATGTGAGACCACATTTACAGGTGGCCGACCCGAGGTTCTCTCCCAGGAGTCGAAGAACATCATCCTGGAGGGGTTAGGCCGCCGTGGGACAAGTGAGACCCGAAACAATCCGACTGTTTCGTGTCCGGCAAGGCCTCGAGCCATGGCATGAGCTGGCAACACAGACTGTTAAATTGATGTGTCATAATATCGTAAAATAAATGTCTAACACGTGGTGTTTCCAGCTTCCATTTCTTTCCGTTTAGTCTGGACAGGGGGGAGGGCGATCATTGTTTGGGATCCCATAGATCAGAAGAGAAATAGGTATAAGAAAAAAAGCAGCAAAATTTTCATTCTTATAAATGTAAAGGATAAAAGCGACAATGGAATTTTTTTCCTTACAAGATAGGGAATTCAAAACTTTTGGACACATGTATGACCAATACTGATTCAAACCTGTCTCGGTCGTTGAGCGAAGGAAGTCTGTCGGGCCCGACAACGTTGTCGACTTCGGCCTGGAGTTTCTCCTGAATTTCGGGATGGCAGAGGAGAAACAGGACGCACCAACGGATGGTGTTGGCCGTCGTCTCGCTCCCGGCGATGAACAGGTCCGAGATGATCACTCGCAATTCGAATTCTACGGGAATCGCGAGGAATTTACCATTTGATAATTTGATTTATTCATTTTTTTGTGTATGATGATCGGAGGAATACCAGAGAAATTGGGATTGATTTCCCCTCGTTCCTTCTGTTGAGCCATTTCCGTGAGATAGGAATCGATGAAATCCTTGGGTTGCCCGGACGATGCTAGGCTTTTCTGGTGCTCTTTCAATTCATTCTGGTGGAAAATTCCCAAGAAATATACAAATAATATAATTCAAAGCAATATAGAATTGGTCGGCTTACAAGCGTTGAATTAGATCAGGAAAGTCAACAGGAAAAGTTTCGTAGTCGATCGTTGTCGAATGCTGTCAATCGTTGCATGTTAAAAATGGAAAAGGTGGACGTTTTCATCTTGGGAAATGCTAAATCCTTCGAAAAGTACAATATAACAAACCTAATCCTTGGTGATCCAACGATATGGATTCACTATGCGGATATTGCCCCAAGATTAGTCGATTGGAGGCACTTGGTCTGGGCGGGGAAGATGCCGCATATCTTGGAGGTGCTCAAGGCGCCTTCCGCGTTGGGCAGCGAGGGGCCAGCAGTCGACGCGTCGGTGTCGTGTTCGGGGGTTCGAAATACGACACTCTTATTGGAATACGTTCATGGAATCGGATTTAAAAAGATGTTTCTCGATCCTCGGGTGAATGCTCCCATCGTCTGGCATGACCCCACTAGCCAACATTTTCTTTTCGACCCGGAACGACAGACAACCTACGACACGAATCGACACCACCATGCATACCGAGAATATCTTGGCGATGGCTGCCATGTTGTGATCGATGAGTCGAGACGCTCGGAGTGCAGGCGGCCAAAGGTACACAAACAGGGGAACCCATTGGAAGTTTCCGACGATCCCGGAATCCGACAATACTTCTTTGAGTCGATTCATGAAGTCCTGCATCCTCGCATCGTCGTGAGAAAATTGCTTGTCTGTGAAAGATAGGCGTGAAAATAATGCATGAAAATTTGCCTGTCGTGAAAAATTGCCAAATCGCAGGGCGAACCTGCAGTCATTTTCCAGATGATGTTCAGAACGGCAAGATTGAGACGGGGGCCGAGATCCTGCGGTCTCCTCTGATTCTCCTTGAGGTGCTGGCAGAGGCCGATGGCCGAGTCTTGAATCATGGAGTCCATGGCTTCCCTCTTCCCGAAGCCAAAGTCCTTCAGGATCCGCATGGTGAAGCGCCGGTTCTCCTGCCACAGGCTGCCCTGCGCGGATATGATGCCTGCAACCCAGGAAGCGCGTGTCTGTGAAGCGACTGTAATTCTGCTCGGTCAGGTTAGTTCGTACCTCAATCTCGGAAATCGTAATTGTCCTTCCTCGTCGTGCTAAAATAAGAAATCTAATTGCTTTCTTTAGAAATTACATCGAGCTGCTATACGAGCAATCGCAGCGGCATGAACGTGGAGCCACTTCGGTGCATATTTAATGCTGCGCGGTCGAAAGCTTCGACGACGGAAGGATCGGATCAGGCAGTTTGGGTACCCATGTTGCCGGAGGTGATTTGGCGGACGATGAGGTTGTCGGGTCGACCCGAGACCTCCAGTCGTCCGAAGTAGTCACGCACGAGTTCCCAGTCGTTGAGGATCACGATCTCCTTGTGGAAGAGGCTGATCGTGAAGATCTCTCCGTATTTCTTCCTCCAGGCCTCCATCTTGTAGTAAGGGTACTTCGCCCCGAGAAAGGGGACGGATCCCAGGAACGGTACACCCCATGGACCTGGAAACAATAAGCCTCGCAGTTTTGTTAAATAATGAAAATATGTTTCAACTTGCATCACGAATCCAGGGCCGTAAATACCCCGGGACAGGGAGTCATGGACGCGCCCCACCCCCCTCTCAATGGCGTTTTCCCTAATTTGTACCTTCCAGTCCTCCTAGAGCTAGTACCTGCATGTCCACGTATAAGTTTGCACGCCATCCCTTTAAGTGAATCTGAATGGCAAGCCAAGTTGTGTTTTTTTTTTAAATTCAGGTATACGGATATATATATACATATACGAGGTATAGGAACCTGTTAGAACAGGTTCCAGTGATTGGGCTTTTTCCCATACCGTTTTTATATTTTATCCTAGACACCACTTATCCAGTTAGTCGGGGTTGGGTCGGGTGTTATTGGCCTAATGTGCCTCGAGGTCAGGGCTTGAAGGTAGCAGGAGCAATCTGGGCATCGTTCCAATCTGTCAGTGCAGGACACAGTTAGCTAAATGCATGGTAGGGCCTTTCCCAGGCTACACTTTTCTTTTGATAGGCTTGTTTTAAGCTTAGCCCTCCCCCTTTTTTCGCTTTTCCTTCATAGGCTTGAGCTCTCCCAAGCCATGCTCTCGCTTCATTCCGTTCTAGGCTTGTGTCTACCATGCATTTCAGCTGTGAGGCTGGTCGAGCTAATCGATTGTTTAATTGTGGCACTGGCAGATGGACTTAAGCCGGGATTGCTTCTGGGGCATTAAGTACTACCTCTACTATTTACCTCTACAGCCGTAGCACCTGACGGCAGAAACTCTCTGGATAGGGTTTGTAAGTCAGACTTGTGGCCTCAACCCCCTGACGACGCAGGCTGCCTGACAAATTTCTAGGATAGGATCCTTCGCTGTCCCTTCTCTTTTTAACTTCCTTTAGCCTTGCCCCATACCTGCAGGCTGTCTCTAATAACTCGGACTCTCATCTCTAAGTCCCGCGCTTCTGGGTCCAAAGGTTGGGCATTTTCTGTTACCCCTGTACCCCTTGGGTAGTCTCGAGCAATTTCGGCACCAAATAACTTCTCTTACTCTATATATATATATATAATATACTAGGAATATTTATCGAGACGCTCGCGAGTCTCCATCATCTATAATTGGGGTTCGGAAAAAAGCTTCCTAGAAAAAAAAGACCTCCAGAATTGACAAAACCAGGAAAAAGCCACCCGAGATGAAAATGCAAATAAGTCACCCAAATGGTTGCTCGTAATTATTCATTTCTACATACCATATAATTAAAGACATGTTGAGACACGTTCATGCAGGAATGTGGCTGATCATTATCCATGTTTTTTTTATATTTAAGGGTGAATTTCCACCAAATATTCAAGCAACATTGATATTTCGTTTCCATTTAGAATAAAACGATGGAAGATGCAAAGCATCGCTCGATTGGAAGCGCTTCTTATAATTTATTTTTACAAATATTATTTTCCTACTTTCATTATGAAGGGAAGGACTCTGTTCAGCTATGAACATGGACTCATCTCAATGCAATGCTTGAACAGACAATCCTGAAAACCCCCCTGGAAAAAGGTGTGAAAGTGGATAGGAGGGAGATAAAATTTAAAAAAAACTTTAAACGACTCCAGAGGAATTATTTGAGAACAAATTCCAAGAAGTGTTCAGCGAGTGAATTCATCTCATCCTGTGACGCGGCCACAATCAAAAGATTTCCTGACATTCGTTTTTAAGGAATGTGCTCAAGTAGGACTTGTTTTATTTTTTATAACGTTTCAGTGAAGTTAATCGAATTACATGACATCAATATCACTAAATGTCGCAAGAATGAATGAGTCTTTAATCTGAAAACATAACGAGATGGCACTTTTCAGCTTTTTCCAAATCTGGGAGGTCTTATTTCCGGGTTGCTTTTTCCCCAAACCTTATAATTATAGCACAGCTTTCCTTCCTGTGCGAAAGGCCGATATATAAATGACATGATCGAAATCCACATTCTTTGCTGCTTGATTTTATTTTCACTGCGCAACACTTTTTTCTTTTCATTTTTTTCTGTGCCTCATTCGCCCCCCTCCCTCCTCGGCGCCCCCATCCTTAAGTGGCGCCCGGGGTAGGTGCCCCCCTTATTTACGGCCCTCCACGAAACCACAATATTAACTTATTATATATATATATATATATTACTGGTGTAAAAGTTGATTACCCGGTGGAAGTTTGGACCAAATCAGAAGCTTCTTCACGAAGTAGTGAAGGAGATACACAAGCAGAAACGAAATGAAGACGATGGTAACACTCATCACGACCGTGAAGGACACAGAGCACTGAACCACTCCCTCCCAAGGCTCTCGAACGACTTTGCATGCGCCCCGGCCACCGATAACACTGCGCCCCGCTCCACCAGGCACGTGAATGCGCGTGAAGGCGCGTGAGAATGACAAGTCCCGCCCCGTTTGTTTCAGTGACGCATCCGCACCCGACCTCGCTCGCTGGCTCCAAGTGGAGCGATTAATCCCGCGGGAAAAAAAAGCCTTCTTTCATCGTTCAGAGATTCTCCATTTCCTAAGTTGACTCTTCAGGAATTCCGCTTCGTTTATTTCACCCTTATGACGTCATTGCAAATCCGGAACGAACCTCATCGCCGTTTTGCGAATGGCTCCACCGCGAAAAGATCGCGCATCTCTAGAATTTGCACCGAGCGCTTCTCGACTTAAAATTAGCTTCATCCGTCGAATAAAAAGATGAAGAAAGGCACATTTGTGCTGACGTCATCTGCCCGTACCCCGGGGGCGTCTCCTGCTCAGTATCGAAGGAGGCTTCTGTGGAAATGCGGCCCTTTTTGTGACCTTGAAGGGCTCGAAGGAAGGTCAAGGCTAGGGGAGCGGCACCAGTTCGCGAACAGGCGCCAGATAGCGAACGGCGAGTCATGAGATGCGAGCTGCCACCATATTTCTTTGATGTACCACTTCACCCCTATTCACTTGTCAACCCTTTCTCTACATTTTCCACAAGCTCGACATGGAATGATAGTAATAGGAATGGAATGTAAAATGCATATTTGTCGTCTCCCGTGGAAAGGCAGGGATTTTTATGTGCTGTAGCTAAGACCATCACCTTCTTCACGCGTCATTCCTCACACCCTATAGTGATTTGAATGTTCCTCGTCGTAGTTTTTTTTTCCCTAAATATCGTGATTTGCGAACTTCCCAGCTGAATAGGCGAAAAATTGCATTTGAGAGATTGTTCGCGAACTGGAACAGAATTTCCAGTCTGTGCAAACTGGAGCAGGCATTTCCATTCGCGAATGTTCAAGGAACATTCATGAAGTGTGGCGCTCCGTTTTTAACTGAGATTTGTACAAATGCAGTACGTAATTATTAAATACTGTAAATAAAATTTTACGTGCCCTCGCGGCCCAAGGACTGATTTATTATATTTCAAATTTATGAATTGCAATAATGAAAATCAGTATAAAAATGGGAGAAACCAAAGGCGTAGCTCGCAATGGGAGCATCTCATGAATGTGGCCACATCACATACTCTGAATGTGGCCACATCACATTCTCTGAATGTGGCCACATCACCTATTAAGTTTTAACATCTCTGTTGAAAGATGTATAACTTCAAAGCAATATTGAAATGGCGTGATATGTGCTTCGAGCCTCTGGTCCATACATCAAGCTTTGAACCGAGCATACTTGATGAAATTCTTAAACCGAGGAGCCGAGAACTGGTTGTGGGTAATTGACTGGAGAGTTCAAATATTATCGCCTTGAAAAATATTGACTTCAAGATTATCCACGAGAACACGATCCGGAACTTGATTCGGTGCATCGCATTTGCTATATAAACAAATGATTAAAGAATGATTTGATTAAAGAAGAAACAGGACAACAATCCAGGGGCCGCATATCGTGATCACAATAAACCATGGAATGCAAACAATTTTACAGATACACCATTAAAAACTTATTTCATACAAATCTCAACCAGACTAGATTTTCCCATCGATCATGCACACGTGCAGCTACAAAAACGAGTGTCACCTTGGCTCGATCTCCATTTCCATCTTTAGTGCATCTTGAAAGCACACAAATCTCTCCATGAAAAAACTGAATCACTAACTTGCTTTGCAACCCACCAACATGATGTGTATGGAGACATGGGAATAATTGAAGCAATAAAAAGTAGTGAAACAACAGAAAAATGAGACTGGAATAACAAATACCCAGCAGCCCTCTCATTGATGCAAAACACATCTGACCAAAGAGAAACATAGAGGAGTATCAAATCAACTCATAAATATTATTTCCCGTCTCCAAAGGCAGGATGTTTTTCCGTCTTTCAAACTAAATGTGAGATGTTAGTCTATATGATGCCTTTGTACTGAAGAGGAACTTCAGCTTGAGATATTAGTGTCTTATTCTCAGGAAATAATATGTTATATTCACACTGGCACCTTAATGAATATTATAAACTTCACAAATTCATCAAGGTTCAAGAAGGTTCAAGGTAGTTGTGATATCAAGAGGCGATTACATCCATTTCGATATCATGTGTCGAGGTCGAGCGTTCCTTAATTTTAGGGTATGCCTAATCCTCTTAAAGCTAAATATTTTTGCATTTTAGAGATTTTTTCTTTAGCATATCCTTGTTGCATACTGCCTAGTCCCTATCTTCAATATTGC